CCTCGACTTTCCCTGCCTTTTGTAATACTGTAGTGGAAAGGCAGCAGCATAACAGCTCTTGAATGAGTGGCCTGGCAAGTACCCTTGACATAGTTCATTTTTCTCGCAACTGCCGCGCAAACGCTGCCTTCTTGGTCGACAACCATTTAGGAAGCGCTTAGACAGCAGTTGGGAGGAGGATGGAGGGTGAGCCGCATGGCAAAGGTACTTGCCAGGTCAAGCACAGGGCCAAAGAGATCGACTGAGCCGTCACTGTGGTGTAAGACACTCCGCTGTCACGTGGAAAGGTTTAGTTTGGACAGATGGAGCGTTGTATCAATAACAGAGCTATGAATCACAAAGCTTCTCGGAGGGGACATCCTTGCTCTAACCTATCATCGCATTGTAGAGAGTGCGGCTGCACGCCATTGTTTGGTGGCACGGTAGTTAAAGCTAGATTCAGACATATGGTAGTGCGGGTAATTGAAGAGGAATATCTCATCAGCAAAGCTAGTATGTTAATTCAGTTATGTTAATTCCCGCTGAGGTAGTTTTTCTGGAAGCGCATCATTATTACAATCTGTCTGCTCATCTATTCATTTTCATTTAGTGCACGTATTCTCGTAACCACATATATATATGACGGTTTTCTCGAATAAATTTTCAGTTGTCAGTGTGCACTGTGTCAAGGTGCCTTCCCTTACTGCTTCAAATTTCTTCGTGCAATTCCTTAAGATGAATTATCGACTCACCCAGCAATCCGGGGTTCTCGGGAGTTGCCTGTTGATTTCAAAATCAGTGCTCCGTAAAACTGAAAAACTTAAGACTACTTATATCCTCCCCCACCCAGTTAGTATCAAGTTAGTTTGCATATTAGTTCAATTGATTTCGCACGCCCACAGAACGAAGCAAGCTCTATATGCCCCGGTCCCATCCCTGTGGCCTTTTCAGCCAGCTACACAACAGCCATCCCGGCATACGAGCCTCTACAGGCCTCGTGCCTGATTATTAGTTCTGGCCCTCCATGCAGCAGAATTGTCGCACATGGGCGCGCTTCTTCATTCACTGCCAACGCTCTAAACTCACCAGGCACGTTACGTCACCGTTCAGAACATTCCCTCAGCCCTCTGGTCACTTCGAACCCGTCAATTTTGATATCATAAGACCCTTTCCTCTGGCTGGGCCCTCCCGCTGCTGCCTCACCGACATTGACCGCTACACTCGGTGGCATGAAGCAAGACTCCTCGAGCGAATTACCGCGGAAGACGTCGCCTTAATTTTCTTCACTGGCTAGACTTCTTGATTTGGCGCCGCTGCACTGTAACCACCCACTAAGAACGACAGTTCGAGTCGTACCAATTCCGCCTCTTCGGACTGACTATGGGCTTTGAACACTTCATCATCATCATCATCATCAGCAGCAGCAGCAGCAGTAGCAGCAGCATCATCATCATCAGCAGCAGCAGCCTGACTACGTCCACTGCAGGACAAAGGCATCTCCCATGTTCCGCCAGTTAAAGCGGTCCTGTGCTTGCTGCTGCCAATTTATACCCACAAACTTCTTATTCTCATCTGCCCACTTAACCTTCTGTCTCCCCCTTACCCGCTTTTCTTCTCTGGGAATCCAGTTAGTTGCCCTTAACGACCAGCGGTTATCCTGTCTACGCGCTACATGCCCGGCCCATGTCCATTTCTTCTTGATTTCAGCTATGATATACTTAACCCCATTTCGTTCCCTAATTCACTCTGCTCTCTTCTTCTTTCTTAAGGTTACACCTACCATTTTTCTTTCCATTGCTCGCTGCTTCGTCCTCAATTTCAGCTGAACCCTCTTTGTAAGTCTCCAGGTTTCGGCTCCGTAGCTAAGTACCGGCAAGATACCGCTGTTATATACCTTTCTTTTGAGGGATAGTGGCAATCTACCTGTCATAATTTGAGAGTGCTTGCCAAATGTGCTCCACCCTATTCTTATTCTTCTAGTTACTTCAATCTCGTGGTTCAGCTCCGCGGTTATTACCTGCCATAAGTAGACATAGTCATTTACAACTTGAAGTGCCCTATTACCTATCTCGAAGCGCTGCTCTTTTTCGAGGTTGTTGAACATTACTTTCGTTTTCTGCAGATTCATTTTAAGACCTACCTTTCTGCTCTCCTTGTCTAAATGCGTAATCATGAGTTGCATTCGCCCCTGAGTTACTCAGCAATGCAATGTCATCAGCGAAGCGCAGGTAACTAAGGTGCTCTTCATTAACTCTTATCCCTAACTTTTCCCATTCTAGGCTTCTGAAAACCTCCTGTAAGCACGCGGTAAATAGCATTGAGGAGATTGTGTCCCCCTGCCTTACACCCTTCTTGATTGGTATTCTGTTGCTTTCTTAATGAAGCACTATTGTAGCAGTTGATCGCCTGTAGATTTCTTCCAGGATGTTTATATATATTTCATAGACGCCTTGATTCCACAGTGTCTGCATGATGGCTGATATTTCTACTGAATCAAACGCCTTCTCGTAATCTATGAAGGCTATGTATAGTGGTTGGTTATATTCTGAGCATTTCCCTATTACCTGATTTATAGTATGAATGTGGTCGATTGTTGAGTAGCCCGTTCGAAATCCTGCTTGTTCCTTTGGTTGATTGAATTCTAATGTTTTCTTTACTCTGTTAGCAATTACTTTTGTAAATAGCTTGTATACTACAGAGAGCAAGCTAATCGGCCTGTAATTCTTCAAGTCCTTGTCATCTCCTTTCCTGTGTATTAAGATGATGTTAGCGTTCTTCCAAGACTCTGGTACTCTTCCCGTCAGGAGACACCTCGTAAACAGGGTTGCTAGTTTTTCTAACACAATCTGTCCTCCATCTTTCATTAGATTTGATGTTTTCTGATCCTCACCAGCAGCTTTGCCTCTTTGCATGCTCTCCGAAGCTTTTCTGACTTTTTCTATCATTACTGGTGGGGTGTCATCTGAGTTACTGCTAGTTCTTATAGTATTATAGTCGTGGTTGTCCCGGCTACTGTACAGATCTGTGTAAATCTCCTCCGCTATTTTAACTATCCTATCCATATTGGTAGTTATTTTGCCTTCTTTGTCCCTTAGTGCATACATCCGATTTTTGCCTATCCCAAGTTTCCTCTTCACTGCTTTGACGCTTCCTCCGTTTTTCAGAGCGTGTTCAATTCTCTTCATGTTATACCTTCTTACGTCGGATACCTTACACCTATTACTCAACTTCGAAAGCTCTGCCCGTTCTATTTTGTCTGTTGTACTTGACTTTCATAATTTGACGCTTCTTAATGAGATTCTTTGTTTCCTGGGAAAGCTTGCCAGTGTCCTGTCTAACTACCCTTCCTCCAACTTCCACTGCACACTCCATAATGATACTCGTCAGATTATCATTCATTGCATCTATGCTAAGGTTGGTTTCCTCACTAAGAGCCGAGTACCTGTTCTGAAGCGAGACTCTGAATTCCTGTACTTTCCCTCTCAGTGATAGCTTATTGATTGGCTTGTTGCGTATCAGTGTCTGTCGTTCCTTTCACAAGTCTAGGTGAATTCGAGACCGTACCATTCTATGTTCACTGCATCGTACCTTGCCAACCATTTCCAAATCCTGCACGATGCCTGGGTGTGCACTCATTATAAAGTCTATTTCGTTGTTATTTTCACCATTAGGGTTCCTCCTTGTCCACTTGCGGTTTCCTCGTTTTCAGTAGAAGGTATTTAAAATCCGTAAATTATTGCGTTCTGCGAATTCCACTAGTAGCTCTCCTCTGGTGTTTCTAGTACCGATGCCATAATCTCCTACTGCCTGGTCTCCAGCCTGATTCTTCCCTACCTTTGCATTAAAATCTCCGATCAGTTTTGTATACTGTGTTTTTACCTTTCTCATTGCTGATTCCACGTCTTCGTAGAAGCTTTCACCTGAAGTGTCATCATGGCTGGATGTAGGCGCGTAAACCTGTACCACCTTCATCTTGTATCTCTTATTCAGTTTAACTACGATACCTACCACCCTTTCATTAATGCTATAGTATTCATCTATGTTGCCAGCTATGTTTCTTTGAATTAGGAACCCCACTCCCAGTTCTCTTCTGTCAGCTAAGCCTCGATAGCAAAGGACGTGCCCATTCTGTAGCACCGTATAAGCCTCATCTGTCCTCCTAACCTCACTGAGCCCTATTATATCCCATTTCACACCCTCTATCTCCTCGAATAGTACAGCGAGACTTCCCTCACTAGATAAGGTTCTAGCGTTAGAAGTTGCCAAGTTAAGGTTCCAATAGCGGCCTGTCCGGAACCAGAGATTCTTAGCACCCTCTGCTGCGTTGCAGATCGGACCACCGCCATGGTCAGTTGCTTCGCAGCTGCTGGATACTGAGGGCCGTGAGTTATTTGACGTATGCATGTGGAAGGTACAGTGAAATCTCGATACAACGAATTTGAAGGGACCGCGGAAAATAGTTCATTATTTTGAAATATCGTTATAGTGAAAACATCGAAAATTCGCATTAAACATCGTAAATGCAACAAAAGGAGTCGCCTACCTTTGCTGTGTACACATCCGCAAACGCTTGATTTTATGACGAGCGTGAAAAGAAACAAAACGCGAAATATTCCGGAATGAGCGCACGTTTATTTGAAAAAGTCGGTGATCTTGGCCTGGCGGGTGCCGCTCAACTGCCGCAGGACGAACGCTTCGAAGCTGTCCACATTCTTATGCTCTGCTTCGGTGGCATTGCTGCACCTGCCAAGGTAAGTGCGCATCTTTCGCGCGCATTCCATGATGTCGGCGTTGGAAAGCGATTCTTCTGGTTGGCTAATGGGCGCGGTCTCAGCGTCGTCTTCGCCATTGGCGTCCTCGTCGCTGTTATCACCACGAACAACACTGACGATGTCATCGGTCGTCAGTTCGGCTGACGTGCATGCTTCGTCGTCGCACTGCACATAGTCCTCGAACGTCACCGAGGCATCCATCGCGAGTCTTTCGACGACTTCTTGCCACATGCCACTCGCGTCGCTTTCTTAGCTGCCTTGTTCAGACTCAGATGGCATTACTACCAAGCCTGCCTGCCTCCAGCAGTTCTGTATGGTGGTTGATGTAACGCTCCACCAGGCCCCGGTAACCATATCTGTGGCCTGTCGCACATTGATGGAGGTAGGCAGCTTCATCCGAAGATTTATCAGCAATCGCTGAACCAGGCGTGTCCGGTAATGGGCCTTGACACTTTTTATGATGCCTTGGTCCAGTGGCTGGAGCAAGGAAGTACAGTTCGGAGGCAAGAATTCCAGCTGTACATTTGTCAGCCTGACATTAACAAGATGCGCCGAGCAGTTGTCGGCGATAATCAGGATTTTCCTACCTGCGCTCCTCATCTCATCGTCCACCTTTAGTAGCCACTCAGAGAATAACTCTCGTGTCATCCACGCGCGTGAATTAGCCCGATAATCGCACGGCAACGAAACAACGTTCCTCATGCAGCGAGGCTTTTTGTATTTGCCGATCACCAAGGGCTTCAGCTTCTTGGTGCCTGTGGAATTGCAGCATAACAATACCGTAATCCGGACTTTGGAGTGCTTGCCGCCTTTGCAGCTGTTCCCTTTAAAATGCATGGTTTTATCAGGAAGCATTTGATAGAAGAACGCCATTTCATCCGCATTGAATATATCATCTTCGAAGTATGAAGCGACGATTTCGCGGAACTTCTCGTCCCTCCATGCAGCAGCGCTTGCTGTGTCTGCCGCCTTCTCTTCACCAGACACCACTTGCCAGGTGATTCCATTCCTTTCACGGAAACGATGAAGCCACCCCACGCTTGTTTCGAAGCCTGTGATGTCCAAAGCATCAGCGAATTGCCGGGCTTTTTCCTGCAGCATGGGTCCTGACACCGGCACATTTTGAGAACGCGCGCCCTTGAACCAAGTCAGTACTGCAGCATCCACTTCTTGGAAATTCCCAAGTCGGAGCCGTTTTCTTGACGGTGCGAGTTGGGACCCTCGGTGCTGCTCGAGGATCTTTTGTCGGTCCTTCAGGATGGTTGCGACAGTTGATGGTGCAACCCCCATCTCGTTCGCAATGTGGATTTGTTTTTTACCGGCGTCCACTTGAGAAAGAATATCCACTTTTTCTTTCAAAGAAAACTGCCTCCGTTTCTTTTTCGCGCTGCTTCCGGAGCTCATCGCGAACGCAGAGACGAATCACTCTAACCTTTAAAACGAGAAAGCCGTACGACAATCGTGCGACGTTGCCGGTCGACGTAACAAAACAAAGGCGGCGAGGTTAGGCTCAACCTGGCTCAACGAGCATGCAAAAAAAAACATCGAAAACAAGGTACTGGTGATGGCGATAGGGCTAGCCAGGCTAGTGCGCATTTAGCATAAGGCAGCGCATGGAGAAATGAGCAGGAGCTCTGATGATGATGATAGTGCCACATATGGCGCTGGGCATTTAGACCGCCGCACGTAATTTTTACGATAGAAATTCGTTATTTTGAAGTGCTCTTAAGGTACCAGGGTGATAAAATTTGATACGTTATTCTGAAACATTCGTTATTCTGAATTCGTAGTAGTGAAATATTTGTACATTGAACCAATGGACATTTGGAAGGGGATTTCCGAAATATTCGTTAATCTGAAAAAATTGTTAATCTGAGGTTCGTTATAACGGGATTTCACTGTAGTGGCCAGATACTGCACCAGGGTGGCCAATCCTTCTCTGGTGAGGTAGTGCGTTCCCGGCGGTGGTTACCAGTGAGGCCGCACCCCAGGCCTCCTAATGCAGTTCCATCACCACGCGGATTTTTTTTATCTAGTTGGGAACTGCGCGGCACCGGGATTTCAACCGCGGACCTTTTGCATGCGAGGCGGATGCTCTAACCAATACGCCATCGCTGCTTCTCACTTTGAGAAGCAGCGATGAACACTTGAGGAACGCAAATAACCAGCCCTGCACCAACGAAATGATCAATAGTTTCCACCGACCGTTCGTGCCCCCTGGTCTCAACCTGGCTCGAGGCAATATCAGCTGTCATTCTTGGTCTTTGCGCCACCTTCAAACTGGACATCCACGCTACGCCAGCAGAGCTCCTTTACGGGGAACCACTTCCATCTCCAAGGTAAATTTCTAAGAGCTCAGCCATTCAAAACTACGACGTCAGACCCCACCGACTTGGTTGCCCGGCTCCAACACGCCGTTGCCACCTGTCACAAACGAGTGCTAAAAAAAGCACGCCGCCGAATTCCGGCCACCAAGTGCAAGCCCTGGAAAGATAACAAAGGAAAGGGGCGTGTGGATACAGAGTTGCGTCACGTGTCGCAGACGGCTCTCGAAACGTCTTGCCCTTTCCCCAGCCTTGGCTGGGCATCGCACCGACGAAACGATTTGAATTTTCTGGAATCTAGCGCGAAAGGCATTTAAGCAAGCATTGTAGAAGGAAGATCAGGAGAAGAAGAAAGTTTGCGCCAGTGTGCGTAGCGTGTTTCCGCCATGTCGGCGAAGGGTTTGTCCTCAGTGACAAACCAGAAGATGAATACAGTTTACGCCCATGTTCCGCTGGCGCGCTAAATAGGACCACTTCTAAATTGTCCACGCTTTCGTGGTGCAGTTCGGGGGGCCAATACTTGAGCCCTTGGAATTAGCTCGGCGATCGCCTCCCGAATAAACGGGACCTGTGACACACCTAACGCCCGTCACCTGCAGCCCACGCCTTTTATGTTCAATAGCATCATGCACGCCCGCTGTCCTTCGGGACGACACCGTTCACCGGCCTTTCCTGCCACTCTACAGCGTACGCTACCTAGTTGTCCAACACAATAGCAACAACTTGAGTTGATGCTCGAACTTGGACGACGCTTGTGTCTAGACTGACTAACTTCAGTTCAGACACATCGCTGTGAACGAACCAGGCCGCACAACTTCTTCAACTAGCGTACTTTCCCAGCCGCCGACATCGCTGCCCGCTTCTTTCATGACACGGTCTAGTAGTCTCGTACGCCACCAAAACTTTTACAGACCCCGAGGGGGGTTCGTACTCGGCTGCTGACCCGCAGGGCGCGGGTTCGAATCCCGGCTGCGGCGGCTGCATTTCCGATGGAGGCGGAAATGTTGTAGGCCCGTGTACTCAGATTTGGGTGCACGTTAAAGAACCCCAGGTGGTCTAAATTTCCGGCGCCCTCCACTACGACGTCTCTCATAATCATATAGTGGTTTTGGGACGTTAAACCCCACATATCAATCAATCAGACCCCGAGGGCCCTGCACTTCCCCGTGGGGGAGGGTAATGTGGCAACCATTGCGCACCAAGCTGTGCAGGCTCCCGATAAGAGACAGCGCCAGTCGGTGCAGTTTCCCCAAAGGCTTACCACAAAACTGGTGGCTATCAAACCCAAGCTGCCAAGCTCGGTTTCATTATTTTTTTCTAACTGTTCGTGCACAGCATCGGCATGCTCGCCTTGCTGTTGCTACCACGTTAATAAAAAATGTGGCAGATCCCACGTACAGTGAAAATCGATGATTTCGATGAATCGATGAAATCGATGAATCGAAGCACGAAGGAGGAAGGTTGATATGTCACTTCATGATCAGCACAACGTTACGAGGTGGAGGTAACTGATGCCGTACATGACTTCCGTGTAATCATTATCATGTTTGAATGTGTCGTTTACCTTCGTCAGCCATTCACGTCACGTGATTTCAAATTTAGTACATGTGTAGGTGCTTCGCTATCCATTGAGATCACGTAACACCAAATTCGTTATATGTGGAGCTAGCGAAATAGCTGTGAGCGCATCATGAAGGGTCCAATATACTCAAACGTAACGTTGACGCGCGCGCACACTGAGCACAGCAACGCTACGTTGGAAAAACTTTAGCATTCTATAGCCTGACGCCAGGTGCGACCGGCGCGACCAGCGCACGTCGGCGCGGCATCACCATAGCGTGGCAGGATGGCGACTGGTGCCAAATGCGACATGCTGAATTTAGCGTCGATGCGTTACCCGGACAGCACTGCGTCTGCCTCTTTTTGTGACGGAGGGACGCCAGTCGCGCTGAAACGCGCATGCGTCGAAGCAACGCAGAGCGGCTCGCGCCTGCGAGTATATGGCTGCGTTTGAAAAACAACGATGTCTTAAAGAAAATACAGCAGGACTAGCGACCACAATAGCAAAAGGGGTCGATGACTAGCGCGCCACTTCTGCTCAGGTACAGGTAGTGATAAGCATGATACTGGAGGTACCGTTGCTTGACGGCAACCTCCAAAGTGTGGTTGTCAACGTAAATAAAGAGATGTGGTGGATGAGTCGAGAGAAAGGCTTTGAGGTAGTGGAAATAAGAGAGGTGCATAGGTGGGGTGGTTTTAAACGAGACAGAATTCACTTCGATGGGTGGCTAGGTCGTGAGGTGGGTTGGCTACTTGCAGGACGCGCAGTAGCTTTTTTGGGGGAACGTGGGCCCTTCGGGGTGCAGGATTGCTAGTAACGAGGAAAACAACCAGGGAGACCCTTTGACAGGTGGTATTGACAGATACGATACCAAAGTGACAGAAGAATCTAAAATAGGTACAGTCCATGGCAGAAACAGATGTAGCCACGAAGGCCGAGCCAATTTAAACATAGGGTATATTAACATGCAGAGTGGCAGGAACAAGCTGAAGTGGGAAGAAATAGAAGAACAGCTAACGGAGGAGAGGCCGATGGTATACGGTTTTGTAAAAACACATCTCAGGGACAAGGAACAACTTTCTAACAGTTCGAGTTGAAAATATTGCAATAGAACAAAAGGCGGCAGAGAAGGGGGTGTTGTTGGTGCATCAATTCTTAAAAGTACAGACTGGGAGAGGGTCAAGCAGGAGTGCAAGGATCATTTACGGCTAAGAGGGAAAGTGGCAGGGCAAATGACACTCCTTGGTTTTGTGTACTTGTCGACGGGTGCAAAGGCCAGAGAAGAAAACCAGGCAGTAGTGGAGTGTATATCAAAAGACATTGAGGAATTAGGAGGAGAGTGCGAGGTATTATACTAGGAGATATAAATGCACACATAAAAGATATAGATGGGTATATCGACCCAACAAGCAATATAAACATAGATATATGTGAAAGGCATGATTCCATCATTTGCAACAGTACTGAGAAGTGTGAAGGGCAAATAACATAGAAGGTAGGAAAGCTGCAGTCGATTATAGTTTGCGCACTGATGTCACATAGGATGCATGATAGGCTCAGGGGATTCCACAAAGATGAATGTGGCTCCACACGTCTGGGTAGTGATCACAAACGTATCAAGCTCAATTTTGGGACAGCAGTGAAAGTGGGAAGGCCAAAAGATGAGCAACTACAGGGAATTTTAATTCAGAAAGGCAAATAGAAATCGCTAACAAACAAATATAGAAAGTAATCACTGAGGATAAGAAAACAGTATGGATATACACGGATATAATTAGACTGTTTGAGCTTCAGCTTGCTAAAACACATGACAAGTCACCCAGGAAAAGAAGACACAAACCCAAGAGTTGGTGGGATGAGGTCGTTAAGATAGCCATAGCAAAACGTCAGGAAGCCTCTAGAGAACACAGACATGCTAAGCAGTGGGGTGAACCAACAGATGATGTTGAAAGAAAATGGGACATCTTTCTAGGCTGCAAAAAGGAAGCATCCCTTCATTTCAAGGAAAATATTAGAAGTAAGGTGGCTCATTGGCTGGCAGAAGAACATAAAAAGGATAGAAAGGCAGCTTCGAAATTCTGGAATCATCTAAACTCCCTCAGAAATGAGACGAGCCTAAAGCAGAGGTTGATAACTACAATTCAAGGTGTTACGCTAGAAGGGGACGAAGCCATTGAATATATAAGAACAAGGGTGACAGAAAAAATTCAACTGAGAAGTGCCTTACGCACCACAATAGACAAAGATGAATCAAGTGGCGTAATGGCTCCATTTTCACAACTAGAACTGGAAAGGGCTGAGAAGAGAATTCCCAGTTGTTCATCAAGAGCCAAGATGGCATTCCAAATACGCAGATAAAGACACTGGGCCCGAAGTCTAAGCAGACTTTGCGAGAGGCAGTGAGA